GTGATTCTAGGCATTGATAAAGCCTTTGATTTGATTTGATTTTTTTTTTGTATCCATCTCCTGACTTGTGCCTGTCGACAACTTTATCCCAGAGATCTTTTGACAGTGCCTTGCCACCATTGTTGATTGTTTGCTTCAGTTGCACTACCAAGGACTGAAATGCAGGAAAGCTCTTTCCATGCTGAGCAAATCAAAATGATCACAGATGATCACAGTTGAAAGTCAAATGGTTTTGTGAGCTATTGAGAAAGTGATTAGCTACACCTGATTGAGGTTACAAGTCATTTTTAGGAGGGGGGTGATTCTTTTTCCAACAATCCAATCTTTTTTTTCCCTCGTCTCAAGAAATATCTACATCCACATGAAACCACAAAACCGACACAAAACGATGTAGTATACATGCCAGACCAGTATGTGGCGCTGTAATTCTGCCACAGAGACATTTTTTATTCTGCCACTAAAAATGGAGAAGAAGACTTGGACTATGCGCATAAACCTTGCACGCGGTATACAAACGAACATGGGACAATACATTTATTAATCTGTGTTAATGTTAGTTAATAAAAAGAAGTGAAGTGACATGTGGCCAAGTATGGTGACCCATACTCGTAATTAGTGCTCTACATTTAACCCATCCAAAGTGCACACACACAGCAGTAAACACACACACACACACCGTGAACACACACCCAGAGCAGTGGGCAGCCATTTATGGGGAGCAGTTGGGGTTTCGGTGCCTTGCTCAAGGGCACCTCAGTCGTGGTATTGAAGGTGGAAGAGAGCACTGTACATTCACTCCCCCCACCTACAATCCCTGCCGGTACGAGACTCGAACCCGCAACCTTTGGGTTACGAGTCTGACTCTCTAACCATTAGGCCACGACTCAGTGTCATCTGTCACCCTGAAGACACTGAAGACAATCATGTTTTTGTTGCTGTTACGTGACGTAGCGGTGTCTGACTAGGGGTGAGACGTGGGCTGATGACGTCATCGTTTCAGAAAATATACGGATTCGCTGTTCACACGAAAACGCAAGGGCGGCGTTTTCAGATTTATCCACTCTGTGACCCAGTTTCAAAAGATACCGGTTTCACTATCCCAAAACGCCGGGTCCGTGTGGACGAAATGCCTATACGATACAAAATGTATATGTATACAGCTAAACGTGTCTCCGTGTGGACAGGGCCTCAGTGATTCTGGCTTTTTTTTCCTGACATGTTGGTGTTATATCTTTCACTTGGATGT